CGCGCGGCCGGGCCCCCGCGGCCGGGGGGGGGGGGGAGGAAGAGGAGGAAGCGTGGGGGGAAAACCCGTTTATTTCCCCCTTCTCCACCCCCCCAGGGGAGCGGGGAGTAAAACAAACCCCCCCGGTGTCTCCCTTCCCGTGACTCATCAGGGCTCCGCTCCGGGGGAACGGCCGGACAAAGGCGGCGCTTCTTCCCCCCCCCCCCCCCCCCCCCCCCCCCCCCCCCCCCCCCCCGCCCACTTTTGTGGACACAGACCGGAAAAAGGGGGGCCTTTTCCCCCCCCCCCCCCCGGCTCCCAGCGCAGGCCTCGCCGTCCTTCGGGGCTGGAAAAAGGGGCAGAAAAGCGGCGGTTTTAGGTGCGAGGCCTCCGGGAGGTTTGGGGGCCGCTCCCGACTGACAGCCCGAGCTGCGGCCGTGTTGGGCTGGGCTGGGAGGCCAGTGGTGTGGTGAGACTGGGGGCACGTTAGAGCTGAGAATAGCAAAAATCAAACGCATAAAACGATTGCCGTAGGTTTCACTGCAAGCTTTGGCCCAGAACATGCGCGACACAACTGGTCACCTTCTTTGAAACTGGAGTGGGCACGACCCGGTCCCCCCTCCCCGTGCTCTCTCCCGTAAGCTGCTTATTTACCCTGCCTGCCCTTCATCTGCACACTCTTAGAAACAGGAGGGGCAGGATCACTGTTTTGAGTGTAACATGTGGCTACAAACAGTGTGTGTTGCACGAGGCATGTTTAATAGGTGGGTTTTGCTCTGAAAGTAGTTTTATTTGGGCTTGGGGGCCTTCATGGCTGTGGGGGGCTGTAGGTGAGCACAGGCTGCGACTTCCTCCCTGAAATACCGTCAACTTCCATCCCCACCGGGCCCATCTGCCACAGAGCTCGCTCCCACTCCCAGGCTGCTTGGATTTTCATCCTTCTGAGTTGTAATCAGATTGGAAAGGATTGGTTTTTAATCGGAGGTGGTAATTATTATTTTTTATTTTCCTTTTCTCCTCCCCCAGAAGTGCTCAAAGGGGAAAGGTGAAAGCGTGGAACAAACTGCAGTTTTAGTCAGCTGCCTGTAGTTGGGTGAAGGAAGTTCTGTTTTGAAAGCTGTTGGGAGATGCAGGGCCTAATAGGAAGTTGCGAATCTAACCGCCCTTCTGGACGGAGGTTTTAAGTGAAGAAGAAATCCCTGGGAAGGCTGCAGGCCTCACAGTCGTGTTGATGGGAGTAGGCAGGGCCTTGGGAGTGTTATTTGTTGTAATTAGTGCTTGGGACTATTTCAGATGAAAGAAAAGTGCTGATCTTGAGATCCTCTGCCCTACAGGATGTAGCTCATTGGGCTGTGCTAAGAGAAACGATAGATGTTAATCAGATTATTTTACGTAAGCAAAAAGATTGTGCTTTTGTTGAGTTTTGGCACTTCTAAAACACCCGTGTGTGCTTTCTTACGAATTCTGGGGTTAGGTGTTTCAGTGATGGATGCATTTGTGGTGGAAAATAATAAATTAGCAAGTGAAATTTTGTCAGGAAATAGTTGAAGCGGAACACGTGGGTTTGTGAAACTTGGTTAAAACTTGCTGTGTGTCCTGGAACTTGTGGAGAGTCCCTGTTGTGCTTCCTGCTCCGGAGCTGAGGGATGCTGCTGCTCCAGGTGCCCGTGTCTGTCGGTGTCCTCCACGCACCGGGGTACGGTGCACACCCTTGTCCATGGCAGAGAGAGAGAGAGACCTGCCCAAAGAAACGAGCTGGTGTTTTGTCTTCTCATCAGGCTCCTGCTGGGGAATTGCTTTACATTCCCTTGGGGATGGACTGCAGCATCCTCCAAACGCTGCAGCCTGTAAACGCCTGGCCTTACGGAGGGGAGTGTTTTTGAGGGTGTGTAAATAGGTGTGAGGACAGCGATGTCAGCGGGCTCAAACCCAAGCCCAGAAGCTGTTTGAACACGAAGTTTTATGGGTGGCAGCGTGCGTAGGACCACACGAAGGGGCTGGGGAGGGAAGCTGAGCACAGGAGATCCAATGCCCCCCTGGCCTTACGCCATAGCCCTGGCTCCTGTGGAATTGCGTGTAGATTTTGGGTTGGGTAGAGATTCGTGAGCTCTCGCCTTTGCTTCGTGTGTTCAAACCGATCCGTCGGGAGTCAGGACGGGATACTCTTGGCTTCTGGCACTCTATAGTGTGTGTATAAATAGAAGCCGTGTATTTACATACAGCTGCCGCAGTTGACCTCAGGCGACCCTGCTTTTTTGTTTGTTTAAATGTATGTAGGGTGACTACAAATAATTAATAGTGGAATTGGAAGGTTTCAATGACCACTGACTGCAGGGAGTCCTCCGTCCCTGCAGACAGCTTCATGTTCTGCCAGAACATAGCTGGTATTTTTCGATTGACCTTATATAGATTGGGCTTAGCTACCAAGCAATCAAATTTAGTTTTTTTTGTTTTTTTTTTAAAAAAAAACAAAAATCCCAAAGTGTGGCTAACACATAGTCATAGGCTACATCAAAACTTTAATCTGAATATAGCATTAGATAGGGGGTTGTTTTTCTTTGCTCTTAGGAAGTGAAGTTTCCTTTTAGAACTTCCTTTCCCTGGAAATAGTGGCACAAGGAAGAGCACACGGATTCATGGGTGGGTGCAGGGTGCGGAGAGAAGGGGTGGGAAAGGGCCAGTTGATCTCCCGGGGGGTCTGTGTGTGGTGAGGACTCAGGTGAAGTCGGGCTCTTCCCAGACAATGGCCTGTTGCTGGGAACTGGCGCCTGGAGCCAGCTCTTTGCCAGCAGAGGGAGGTGGGGGGAGTTTCCCTGTCCTTGAGAAGAACTGGCTGGTCCTGGAAGGTGCCAGCAGAAACCAGCCCCGCTTTCCGAGGGGGTGGCACTGGACACGGTGTCCTGCTCCTGCTGGTGTTGGAGGCGTTATGGAGCAGAGGCAGCCCCTCTCTCCTGCCACGCTGCGGAGCTTCGCCCGCGGCCGGCGCAGTTATTTCCTGGGGGTTTGGTCTGTGGTGAACAAGTCGGTCTTTATTTGAAAGACAAGACTCGTGTCCCTCTCAGCCACTGCCTTAGAAATGAAATTAGCCTCGACGGAACAAGGCTGGTGGGTACTGGGTAGTACTGGATTTAGTCCCTGTGGCCGTTACACGAGGGTCCTGACGTGGTGCCGTGTGGCAGAAATGAATCAAAGCAGGACGGGGCTGCTGGTTTTGTCTGCAAACTGCCCTGTTCCACAGCACCTTCGGGGGGCAAGGCCCTCACTTCACCACTGCTCCTTGTGCACCAGCAGCTCTCTGGCTGGGGGGACTTACTGCCAAAAAATGCAGGTGAGAGGAAGTTTAATTTTTTTGTTGTATGGAGCAGAGGCAGCCCCTCTCTCCTGCCACGCTGCGGAGCTTCGCCCGCGGCCGGCGCAGTTATTTCCTGGGGGTTTGGTCTGTGGTGAACAAGTCGGTCTTTATTTGAAAGACAAGACTCGTGTCCCTCTCAGCCACTGCCTTAGAAATGAAATTAGCCTCGACGGAACAAGGCTGGTGGGTACTGGGTAGTACTGGATTTAGTCCCTGTGGCCGTTACACGAGGGTCCTGACGTGGTGCCGTGTGGCAGAAATGAATCAAAGCAGGACGGGGCTGCTGGTTTTGTCTGCAAACTGCCCTGTTCCACAGCACCTTCGGGGGGCAAGGCCCTCACTTCACCACTGCTCCTTGTGCACCAGCAGCTCTCTGGCTGGGGGGACTGGTTTCTTACTGCCAAAAAAAGCAGGTGAGAGGAAGTTTAATTTTTTTGTTGCTCAACTTTCCCTGTGTAAGGAAAGGTGCAGTAATTCTGGGCTCAGCTATGCTGAGATATATCTGAGGGCGAGTAGAAGGCAAAGCAGAACATGGTTGCTCTCTCTGAGTCCTGATAAGAGTAATAGAGGGCATCCTCCTGTCCCAGCACTTGTCTGTGCAGACCCATGAAACTAACAGAAGAGCTTTTGAGTTGGTGCTTCTTATTGGAGAGAGCCAAGTGTTGAGGTGGCTTTGAGCTAACCTTTAATTATGGGGTAAATTACTTTGCGTGGAGGTTCTGTCACACCCTGAGGCCGATGAAGTTGCCGAGCAGGCGGCTGGCATCGCCCCGCTCCTCTCCCTGCGCTTCCCCAAGCTCTTCGACGTGCTCCGACACGAGCGGGGCAGATTGGGATGTGCTTTTTGGAAGACAAGTTCATTCAGATTTGTCTTAAGTTTTGAGCGTGGAGCTTAGTTTGGGTTTCAGCCATGACTTTCTCACCTAGTTGCAGATATCGCTAAACTAGATTGTAAAATGGTTTCACAACTAGTTGCTGAATTGGTGCAACTCTGTTATTTAGTACTTGCCTCACAAGTTTGTCTTCTCTCTCAGACTGGAACTCGGTAGTTCTACTTTTGCTTTCATTCAGCTAGAAGATAATGGTAGACAAAAGTGGTTCTGTCTGGTCTGTCTAGGTGAGCGAGGGAGCAGCACATAAAAAGAATGGATAAAGGGGTTTTTTGTTTATTTTAATCAGCAGTTTAAGGACTTTCCTTTGAGAACACAGGGGCAAGGAAGCCCGAGGGCTGACTTCAGCTTTTTTTGATCTGAGGATGGAAAAAACTGGTGTGCTTTCAGTTTTACCCAAGTATAAAAATTTCAGGTGATGCTCGAATCCAACCACTGCATCTTGTTCAGCATTTCTTCCCGTGGAGCCCAAAGGCTGTGATTCCCACTGGGCTTTGACCTTGTGGCCCGTGAAAGCTGGTCACATCATCCCAGGGCAGATGCACTCATGTTGCTTATTATTTGTGTGCTGCTATTAAATAACTTCAACCACTGCCATTATTTTTCATAGGGAGATGCCTCTAACTGTAGGAGATGGTAACATGAAGCATGTAAATTTCAGTTTCTGCTGTTATTTTTCTGCCAGTACCTGTTACACAGGGCTGCAGCAGCTGTGTTGCTAGTGTATTTTTGTAGAATAATTTTTTAAAAATCCTGTTTCAGTTGTCTTTCTGGTAACTGTCCTGGTGTTAGGTAGCAAAGGGATATAGGAGAGCTCAGCTGTCTTCAGTGTTGGTTTTGGAGGCCCAGTGCAGGACTGTGCCCACCTCTGGATCCTCAACCTGGGATTAAAGCGTTAATGGGATGGACTTGGGTGTTTAAACTAGAATGTCTGGTTTGGGGGCAGTTTGCTTTAGCTCAGGAGTTTGGGATTTTGTTTTCATCCTTAAATTGGAACTGCATGGACCCTGCAGCTGTTTTTTTGTGCTGCTAGAAGTTTTGTAAGTGACTTAGAGCTGGGGGTCCAGTCCTTGACAGGAATCCAGGCATCCTGTTTTAGTTGAGGTGGGGTTAACCAGGTAGAATGACTTTATAATGGCACTCTTGGATCACTGTTCAAACGTCAGTGATGCTTTTACATGTATTTTTCTGAACTATGTGCTGCTGGAAGTTTTGTAAGTGACTTAGAGCTGAGGATCCAGTCCTTGACAGGAATCCAGACATCCTGTTTTGATTGAGGTGGGGTTAACCAGGTAGAATGACTTTATAATGGTGTTCTTGGATCACTGTTCAAATGTCAGTGATGTTTTTACGTATATTTTTCTGAACTATGTAGTGTTCCATGCTGGAACTCCTTATCCTCTAAGGAGCAAATAAATGTACTGACTGTCATGTTCTCTGTTGTTGGGTTGTTTTACTTCGGGCTGTTGTAGCAATTTCTCAAAGCAGCTCTGCCTTCTCAAATACCTGGAAATAAGAAGTTTGGAGGAACTTAGGCTTTTCTGATATTTTTGTCTTCTTTTTGTTTAAGAGAATAAAATGCATTCCCTTAATAACCTTACAATCTCTGTTCATGCTTGTGGCACACAAAACAAATGCTTCAGTTTTATATGAATCTTCATGAGACAGAAGGTAGTTGTCCCAAAGAATAGTGAATTCCATGAAGGCCGGGCTCTGTAGTGCGTTGGGGAGGCCTCGCTACCACCAGACCCTCCAGAATAGCTGACTTCTGTGTTAAATAAGATGTAGCATCTGTGGTGTAGTGCCCTAAAACTGCTGTGTGCTTTGTTTGCAGAAAACTGTTTGTGGGTGGCTTGGACTGGAGCACGACACAAGGTAAGCTATGTATTCTACAGGCGTTGGGCTGGGCTTTGGGAGCAGCAAAATAACCTACAGATCCGTAGCTTTTTAACAGATAATGCTGTGGTAGGAAAAATGGGATGACGTTCTACTGCTCTCTTCTGTTAAATTAATAGAATCTTCTGTAGAGAGAGTTCAAATCTGTGTTAATCGCTTTTTGGTTTTATATTTTCAATCAGTGTTTGGGATTGAAGTTTTTTTTGTCAACTCAGAAGGTGACAGTTTTTTATTGTTGCTTTACTACGATACTACTGTTCTATTGTCTGAGAGGAAATAAAGCAGTGTGTACCATTTGTCTAGAGGAAGTAAAATGTGATCATTTTCAAAATGAGTTTGAAGTTGTTTAGCTGTTTGCCTGTCTTTTGCCTCATAATTGTGAACACGGCCTCTCATTTATCTAGAGGAAGTAAAATGTAATCATTTTCAAAATGAGTTTGAAGTTATTTAGCTGTTTGCCTATCTTTTGCCTCATAATTGTGAACACGGCCTCGTAACATTAATGCCTGGTTCTGTTTAATATATGCTCTTTTTTTAACAGAAACCCTTCGTAGCTACTTCTCTCAGTATGGAGAAGTTGTAGACTGTGTAATAATGAAAGACAAAACAACAAACCAGTCTCGAGGATTTGGATTTGTCAAATTTAAAGATCCCAACTGTGTGGGCACAGTGCTGGCCAGTAGACCTCACACGTTAGATGGCCGAAATGTAAGTTGCTTTTGTGTTTTGTCCTTTTTGTTTTGGCTCCAAACTGCTCCAAAGATCTGTTTTACCTTCGGGCTTCTTATTCGCAGACCGGACAGTGTAAAAGTTACCTGGTTGTTGGTTTTAATTTATTGTCAGACAGCTTTAACTCAACTGGTTTGTGTCGCCTTGTAGAAGCCATGTATTGACGATAGCTTTGGTCTGAGGAGCTGGATCCCAGCAGTGCTGTGTTCAGCTGCCAGAAACCTAACTTTTAGAGCAATATTCTGCATGCTGAGATCTGACCAAACTGGAACTTCTTCCAGATTGATCCAAAGCCATGTACACCTAGGGGGATGCAGCCAGAGAGGACACGACCGAAGGAAGGATGGGTAAGGAAAGATCCTTGGTGTATCCTGCCTCTTTTCTAAGCTTGGGCTTAATTGCTGGCAGTTTCATTGAATTCCCTTGGATTATATATATTTTTTTTTAAATCAGTATGCAGAGTCAGTATGCAGGCCTTGAGTGTAAATTTTATTTCTGAAAAATGTCTTCTACTTAGATTACCATGGTAAGACTCCAAGTATCACATTTGTGTTTGCCTTAAACTCAGTTTGTAGGTGTGATGTTTTCTTAAGCTCTTGGCCACGTTTTCAGTTGAGTTCTTCAGGTTTTGAAACCAGTGTCTGGAAGTGCACTCCCACTGATACTCTCCTCCAGCCAACTTCACACCCTGCGGGTTAATGTGATTTCATTAGAAAACGAGTGAATGGCCCCAGAACACAGTCCCTGGTTCTCTGATCTTCCAAAGAACAGAGCCTGGGTTCTGACTGTGAACACGAAACCGCTGAGCTCTGAGCGTGCGGTTGCTTCACTTTAATGACAAGGAGACTTCAAGCCTGGAGATGGCTCCCCCCCAGCCTGTGAGAGACCATTAGGCATGTTTAAGTATAAAATGATAGAAGTAGCCAACTTTATTGTCCTTCTGACTGAATCTTTTCTTCCTTGATTTAGCAGAAAGGATCCAGGAGCGATAACAATAAATCAAATAAAATTTTTGTTGGTGGGATTCCTCATAACTGTGGCGAGACAGAGCTCAGGGAATACTTCAAGAAATTCGGAGTGGTGAGTCATTCAGCATGATGGCAGTTATCAGTCGGTTGCGAGATGCTTTCCCCCCTGCTGCCTTTCCTCAGATTTCATCAAGCTGTCAAATTTTGGGGTTAATTTAGACAAACTGCTGTAGGGACATACAGAAGCATTTTGTGATAAACTGTAGTAAACGTTCATCATCTTGAAATGTGTCTTGCTGTTTGTCAAAATCCGTTGCTCTGATACATAACTAACTTTGCTGCTTCTGTCCCCTCTTGTCCCCCTGATGCATCGTTCTGTTCCCCCTTCTTGCAAAAACTCCTGCGTCAAGTTGGCTTAAGAGTAATTATTTCTCTTTTTGATTCATTACTTACAGCTTGGTGATTTGAAAATTTTTGTTGAATTTTTGGTTTTTATTTGGGAACAGGGAATACTTCAATGAGCTTTTTGTCCGAGATCCTCGTCTTTGTGTACAGATAGGGTAAATTTTGCCACCTACGGCTGTTATTTTGGTAACAGTAATTGCTTTTAAATCATCAGCTGAGTTCTGCTGTCCCTAGACCCTCCGTTCTAGAGACACACCACTGCTCGTGTTCTGTACCTGCTTTCAATTCAGTTTGTAACCTCGGACTGAAATGACGGTATCTTCTGATTTGGGAACCCCCCTTGGCAGGGTTATGTTCCACCAAATACAGAAGGCAACAGCCCTTAAGTGTAAGTGCCTTTAAAAGTAAGTAGTAGAACTTTAACAACAGTATAGAAACTGGGGAGTCAATGTAGTGTTTTTAATGAGTTATCTTTGGAGAAGTGGAGGCTTCTGAATGTTCTGTGGCCACAGAGTAGAGGCAGAAGCAGGCACTGATTTACACGTGGTAGTTGCTTGGTAAATAAGACCAGTGAGAAGAAGGGCACCCAAATGGACCAGTGGGGAAAAAAATGGCACTGTCACATGGCAGAATCCCCACATGGGGGAGATGTCTCCAGTAGGATGTGTTCAGGAGAGTGTATGTGGTATAATAACTTAAAAAAATATGGTTTTTAGCTGTAAGTAAAAGGTGAATTTGCTTCAGATTTTAAGATAATTGAAGGGATTCTAGTAAAAAATATCCAAAGATTGACTTGAAGGTGAAGATGTGATTCCGTGAGATGACACACGTTTTGAGACCCCTTTTCTGCATCTGAGAAATTTAAAGGCTGTTTTAATACTGCCTTTGACATAAACACTACACCTCTGGTTTTGTTTAAATCGTAGCTCACAGTGGTGCTTACTCTGAAAAAACCTTGAAGCCCTCAAACAGCTTGCGTTTTCCATTTTCTAGTTTTGTTTTTTTTAAGCTAAAATCGCACTGATACTGATCATCCATAACTTAGGGGGGTTTTGTAATGCTATTTAAAGCATCAATTTATGACTGGGACTCTGTGCCACACTGATATTCAAGTAAGTAATTCAGAGAAGCCGTGCAAATTCTTAAATGTGTTTGGAGTTAAAGCTGCTTTTCATGTTGAGAGTGCAAATGTTCAAAAATGGAAAAAATAATCTTTTAAGAAGCTACACTGATGAATATTACGTTGAAAAACAGAAACCTTTGGGGTTTTTTTAATAGGCAATAGTGTGGGTATAAAGAGTGTGGCGATCTTAATGCAAGATTAAAATCTTAAGTGTGATGAGACCTTAAAGAGCCGCAACACAACAGCTTTTCCGAACAGATGAACTCGGGCTTTTCTTAAACTCCCATAAAGAGCAATATTCCCAATTTGTGTGCGCTGCGTTAGGCCAGCCTGGTATTGATGGCTGCATCCAGCTTTTAATTGTGCTTTGTGGAGAGAGCGCGGGGAACCAGCCCGTGGTAACTGTTTATAACGCTCCCCTGGCAGCACCGTTAGTAGAATTTCCTTTCTCTCTTCCAGGTCACTGAAGTTGTAATGATCTATGACGCAGAGAAACAGAGGCCCCGAGGTAAAGGCTGATCTAGTTTGTCCTTGAAATTTCTTCATACTCTCCTATAGTCAGATGGCAAACTATTTCACACCATCAGAAAAGGTAGACTTTTTTTTTTTTTTCCTCCCCCTACGTTGCCTCAGGAAAAAGAATAATTCACTGGGCAAATACCACTTCAAGTCTCGACTCTTCATCTGCAGCTTTAGTTGGTATCTGTGCATTTAAAGTCAGATGTTTCATGTTCATTTATGGGTTTTTTTGCTAGCTTTTTTAGTTGAATGAAATTTGATTTTCTAGCCGCTCCTGTGGCTTAAGGTACTAATGGTGGGGAAAAAAACTGAACAGATTTTCCTCCTGTTCCCCACAAAAGGTATGTCGATGTCTGTAATTGCATGGGGGGGCTACTCCGGTTCAGAGTATTTCTGAACATGAGATTAGAGCAGAATCCATCCATTGTGTGCTTTTTGTTTTGGTTAAATGGCTTCACTTAAAGAAAAAAATCTTCTTAAACTACACAAAATAATTCTGAATTCTATATATTTTTTGATTGGGGTGTGTAATCCCCATATGATAGACTACTTTAAAAAAAAAAAAACCAACAAAAAAACCAACAAAACCAAACCCCAAAACCTGGAAGTTTCACTAGACTATTGAATCAAGGTGGTAACCTTTGGTCAAAATACGAAGCAAGTTTCATGTCATCCACTTCCCATCGCATCTTTCATCTGTTTGACAATTAAGAGGCAATAATTCAAATACTTGAAGCTTAGTTGCACTGACCACCCTGTAGCATGTTCTACATGCTAGAGAATAGTTTGCCATCTGAACTTTCATTTCTCTTCTGACTCATTATTAAGAAATATATTCTTCACTTCATATTTATTAAGCTGTTAAGTCTTAGTTTTATTTTTAATTTAGACATACATCCTTAGTGACATATTTAAGTGTTTCATAGTAAAGTATGGTAATGTTAAGTAAGTTCTTTTTTTTTTTTTTCTTTTCTCTCTGTGAATTGTTTGACTGTGATTAACGATATCTCTTTAGATTTCTTCTCTCTAGGTGATAATTTATCACAGAGGTACAGGCCAGTTCCACAGTCAGAGGAGGGACGGGCTTTGTCTTTTATTGGAGTGTAAACGAAGTTTCAATATATTTGTTTTTTTTGTTTTCTTGCTTTAGCTATCTTAATCTTCTTTCAACAGATACCTTTTCTTTAAGCAGAACATAAATTCATCTATTCAAAAGCTCTAGAGAGTCTGATTTTAAATAAAGGAGACAGTGGAGACAGAGATACGGGCATCTGAATGTAATTTATCACTGCAGTTCTGAAATATTTCAATAATTGTTGTATCATCTACATCTTTGCAATATTTAACGCAGCCTCTGAGCAAAAGGTACTAAAGCATCATGCCTGGTCTGGATTAATCCTCATCTCAATTAATGGCTTCTCTGCTTAAAGCTATACTAAAAAAGAAAACCAGAGGGCTTTGGATGCACTTCCCAGGCGGGAGCTTAGAGCAGAAGTTTGAAAACCTCCATCCAGCGTGTGCTGCAGGGTGCTCTCCCTCCTCATTCACCTGACTTCTTCAACTTCTTAAATCCTTTTGCTCTGGCTTTCGTTTTTATTGGGTTACATTCTTTTATGTAGGGTGGTAACTAACTGTCATCTCCAAAAATGGCCCTGTTAGTCCCTGGGGGCACGAGAGGAAAAATTCCTTGTGGTTTGTATTGGGCACTCCTGGCCACGCATCCCAGAACTCGTTTTCTCTTGCCTTCTCTTTCTGAACTCCGTTCTGTTGCAGAGTGCTGCTCAGTCCACACACTTGTCCTTTTAACATGGTACCTAAACGACTAGATATTGATAAAATTTAAGAAGACAGATTCCCTGACATCTTCTGCTTGTGCCATTCTGAATTTTACCTTCTTCCATTAACTCCACCACCCTTGTGTTCTGAACAGATCCCTTGCTGCATGTCACTTTACGGGTTTGCTGCTAGGAGGAGGGAAAAATTATCCCCATTACTAATCCCGGTAGCATTCCTCCGGCTCCCTCCTCTCGGGAGGAAGCTGGGAACCAGTCTGGGTTGGTGTCAGAGCTGCAGCAATGCCCTTGAGGAGCCGGCTCTGTCTCTTCAAGAGTCCTCTCTGCTCACTCTCTCCTCCTCCCTCTCCTGCGAGCAGCACTTTCATCAGAGCTCCTTTCAGTCCCAGTCCGTGCAGGCAGCCTCTCGCATCTCAAAAGAAACGGTGCCTTTGTTGCAGCCTCTGCTTCTTGTGTTTTCTATTCTTGGCTGAGCCAACAACTGCGAAGTAATTTGCAGGTTCTGGCTGTGTTTGTTCTCTCCCTGCCCTTGGCTGCACACCAGCGTCATCGCTCCCGTCGGTGCTCCGCTCCCATTCCTGCTAAAGGCAGTTCCTTTTTCTGGTCTTCAATAAAGTCCTGTCCTTCAGAAAAATAAAGCTACTGGATGATCACTTGAACTGTATTTAAAATTTCGCATTGTTGGAATTTTGCTGTGTGTTGTACTCTGATTTCTTCAGTATTCCTTATCTTGTGGTGTTTGGCCCTTTTAAACCCCTTCTTATTTATTTATTTTTTTTCTTTACTGGCTTCCTCAATGACCTCTTATTCTCCTTCCTCCTCCTCCTCCAAACCCCATCCCCATCCCACAATATATTTCCCCCCTTCAGTCTTCTTGGAATAGAGTTAAATGAGCAGCCTTCACATGCAGATGACATCCATCATTTTTCTTTCCCGTGCCTTTTTTAGATAAAGGCAGCAATACCAAATGTGTGACTTAAATACAAATAATTTTCTTTTGGCTCTAATACTTAGGTTTCTAGTTAACCTCAGACAAATATATTGTGATGAAATGCTGCTCTCAGCTTTGAGGCTGCTTTCATCACAGGTCAACAAAACTTCGTTTATACTGCCAGTCTCTTGTGTGTGGGAAATGCTAATTTTTTTCCTTTTTATTTTAAGTTTATTTTAGTGATGTCTTTTGCTCTTGTTGCTGACAGCAGAATTTGACCTGCTGGAATCTATTTTGGCCTGTATCTTTGTGTATTTTTTTATATATATAAACTTTCTCTACAATAGGCCTCTTTGGGCTTACCCAACCCAGTTGGATAAGCTCAGAGAGACACTAACTGTTATAGATACTGTATTTCTGTTTAACGCTTTAGAGCAATATATGGCTGCTGTCAGCACTAGCTGCAAAGCAAAATGCAAACCAAGGGGGAAATCTTGGGTTTCAGAAAAGCAGAAATGCATCCATGTTCCATATGCTTTTGATGCCGCACCTCGTTTTTTTCTTTCTAATTTTGATTGCTCTCCCCTTAGCTAATCTGAAGAATGGCACAGATTCTGTACTGCATGTGTCCCCCCCCGGGCCGGTGGTCACACCGCGATCAGTGGTTGATGGCATGAACCAGCCCCCGCCTTCTGTGGAATTAACCACTTATTTTGCCACTCTCTCGGCAGTAGCAGCAGCTACAACCTAAGTGCAGTGGTTCTCAAAGTGCCACCTCGAAAAGCGACTTAGTCCTTGGGCCTTTGCCTCTTTTTTTTTTTTTTTTTTTTTTTCTGGTGTTTTCTCCAGGCACCAGACGCTCCCCTGGCACCCTCTCCAAAGCTGCTGGGTTCAGCTGAGGGCTATGGCCACATGGAAGGGAACGAGCCACTCCTGGGGGTCTGGGGCAAAAAGAGGGGCTGAAAAGTAGATTTTTCAAGAGAAAAGTGGCAGGAAATATAAGAAATAAAACAGATTAAGGGACATGATGGCAAGTATCCCACTCTGCATAAGCAACACTCCCTTAGTTGCCAGGGGTTGCTGTGTTTGGGAAGAATTGGAAGGAATAATGTCTTATTACAGGCTTTTTCTAAGGTGTGGAAAACTTGAGAACCTCTGATCTAGGTTGTGAGTTTCTGAAGCTTCTCATTCATCCATGGAGTGGTAAAATTTTTCATGCTTTAACAGCTACATTTCAAAGACAACTTTCTTATTTTCCACGGAAAATACTCCCTAATTGGAAGATGGGATAAGGGATGGGAGGAAGTTGCTTTGCAGCTTTGGGGAACAGGGACATAATAGCTCGGGGAACCCGGTCTGAATCACAGATAGGAGCAGCTTTAATCTGCTGTCCCACAAGTATTTTGTTTTTAATCCTGTGGCACAGTTATATTTATGACTATATTAGCACTTTTTTTTTTCCCATTTCCTGTTAGGTGGGTTAGGAAGAAAATCAAATTAAAAGATGGTTAACAAGCTCAGTTCGTAAGTTGCATGTGTGAAACCAAAATGAGGCATTAATTGCCTGGTTACAGGAAGTATCCATTGCAATTTTCTCAGATTGACTTTTTTTTTTTTTTTGGAAAATTTAACACAAGTCTCGGTTATCTGAAACCCCTGCTTGAACCCTTGGTCCGCCCCTAATACTGTTCATCATCCTGTTTTGTGTCACAACACCCTGCTACCTTGATTCACTCTTCGTCGTTGGCTAGGTTTTGGATTTATTACTTTCGAGGACGAACAATCAGTGGACCAGGCTGTCAACATGCATTTTCACGACATCATGGGCAAAAAAGTGTGTAGTTGTAGTTTTATTTTACCTTAAGAAAGAACCAAGTCTTGGGCAACTGGCGATTTCACTGGTGAACAAAGGTTATGGATTCAGTCAGGCGGGAGAGCGCGTCTGTCCAAATTCCAGGCTTTATCCATGAAGGTGGGGAAAGTCTTCGGAGTTTGCTTGAGCAGGCGAGAGACAGGGCTGGAAATCCTGAGAATTGGGGCTGGGGGGGCTCTGGTTTGGGGAAGGCCTTGTTCTGACAGACCTGGGGGGCTGCTGGGGCTGGGCACCCCTTAGGGGACGTGGGGCTGCTGATGGCCACCTTGGTGTCAGCTCTGCTTAGGGGCAAAGGGTAGGGATTAGTTGTTTCCAGCTGTTTGAAAGTCAGAATCCCAATGAAATCTGAGTTGTTCAAGGCTTGGTTTAAGATACCACTCCTTCAGATGTGGATTTTATACTCAAATTTTGAGGTGGTGTGAGACAATCTGCTCTATATAATCTTAAATTTATAAAGAAAAAGGAAATAGAAAAACATCATGAAGGATTGGTTTTTTAAAAAATTGGGTCACTTACTGTGAAACTTTGATACAAACCCACGTACTCTATATAGTATTTAACCACAATGCAGTTAAGTGACCTCTGGTTGTTTCATCTTCATACTGTGTTGTCAGCAAATGGGTGTTCGATAGGGAGGAATTTTGAGGTTTGCTTTGATGTTACTCAGCAAGGAACGTGCTGGTACCTGTGGAAAAAAAAGAAAGCTAAAAGCAAAGTAAATTGTTGCAGGGCACCCACGTTTTATACCCAGAAAATAGTAACTTCTTAAAGAAAAATTAACCACAGGAAATTCTGGTAAATATAAAGTCCTTGCAGCTTTATAGTACATACACTATTTTTATAGTCATGTTAAAACTGCTAAGGTTAGAGTGAGCAGGTTTCGAGGGAACACAAGAACAGTCACTTGCCTTAAATTACTGCATTGTATAATTGTGCATTGTCTTTACAGTCTCTCTGTGCTGATATTCCATAAGCGTTTCGTTAGCTAGCAGGGGACATGCACGTGCATATCAGAGCAGTTCTGGTCAGTTATGCAGAATATAATGCTTTTTATTGCCGTGAACTTGTTGGGGGGCTGGGGGGTGGGCTGATTTCCTAACAATGGGAAGGGAGCAAAGGAAGAGATGTGCTTGTGTAATCGAACGTCAGCGCAGGTTCTTGCTCACCAGTGTGTTCCTCCCGGGTGCCAGCAGCTGCACTGGCAGCAGGAAATTTCCCCTGGTACGTGTGTGAATTGTCTCTGTCCTCTGGGCATCCTCTGCTCTTGCCTTGGGATTGCCTTGAGCTTAGACAAACCACTGAAAGGAGAGGTTCTGCCCAAAAGCAGCAGTTGGGGATGAAGGGGAACAAAGGAGAGTACGTCTGTTCCAGCTCTGGGAAAGGATGGAGAACCCGTGTGAGCCCCCCAAATGGCACCTCAGACACCACTGCTTTCCAGAAACACACCGGTGCGAATTCAGAGTTCTCCCTTCTTTCCCAAAGAATGGAATAATTTATTTTTGCCTTTTTATTTTTTTTTTTTCCCTTTCAATGACATAAAACCCCCCAGAATAACAGTGTTTTTTCCGCTCTGAGGAGTGGAGATGCCTCATTTCGTGGTATGAACTGGGCTTTAAGCAGGTGTTGAATTTTAACCCCGGTGCTGGGAGTATTGCACAGGGATTTTTTCAGCCCTCAGTTTGGCAGTTCACCGCTTCCACATGTGCACTGAAAAATTAATGGGATTCTTCCACACAGATTAATGAACTCCAGCTACTCCGCTCTCTCCATTGACTAATAATGCCTGCTTTAAAAATGGTATCTCTTTCTTTTTGGTAATTAAAAAGGTATTGCTGAAATGAATCCATATGTTGTTGAAAGGGAAAAAAAATTAAAATTGCAAGAAGGACTCTGCTTTTGTAAGCAATAACTGAATTCCCTCCAGGCAAATGTGTTAAGACTCATTAATTTGAGTCCTTTGAAAAATTCCCTTGGTTCCTCTCTGGAAGGGCCTTCAGCTGACAGAGATTTGGTTACTGTCATGTCGAATGTCCTTGGGGCATCTGCGCGGGCTGGGGGCGGGGGGCTTTGTCCTTGCCTTGTGCCTGTTTCCTGTTTGTTCTCTGACATGAATGGTTTTTAAGACATGGCAGGAAGAATTCTGAATACTTTATTTTCCATACTACTCAGGCCCATTGATGATTGAGATTTATTTTCTTTGTACTCTGGCACCCATTAAAATTAATCATAAAATAAAAAAAGGCTTTAATTCAGCATGCATGAGTGCTGAGAGTGTTTCATTAAATCAGAAACTGGATTTTTTTTTTTTTTTTGAGAGGTTTATATTGAATGTGCAGCTTATTTTAAGTAGGTCAAATGCACTTATTCGATGGCTTGGAACACTAGGACATTTTAGCTTTGAATAAAATAAGTTAAGCACTGTGGCTTACTAATTTTAAAAACAGGAGGGCTTTTGTCACTGACTTAACACAGTATGAAGATTTGCTTCTTATTGACTCAACTGTCCATTTTTATTACTTGCATGTTTGTTTACTTTTTTGTTAGATGTAATGTAAGATTCTCTTATCACATCCATTCCCTCTGACATTGTTTGAGTTAATTGAGATTCTTTAAGCGTTAGCCTGGGGAAGGTAAGTCTTTATCTTCCATTAGACATTTAAATAAAATCTTAAGTTTAAAAACAAACAAACAAACAAAAAAACCAACCGAGCAACTGTGTGTTTCTCAGGTATGAGCAGAGCTGAAATTGTAGTTAGATGGGGTGGGTTAAACCGTAACTTCCAAACGAACCCCAAACACCTTTGAATGGTTAAAGCATTAGTACCCTTTTTCAGAGCGTACTCTTTACTCAAAGTCCTTGTTTTTACCGAAAAACATCATCTTTGTAACTCCTGCCTTAAATGTGAAATTGGTACATAAATACTTTAAAGGATTATGCTGTTTTTTAAGTGAAGAGCCGTTGTAAGAGGGTACTGCTGTTTTAAGATTAAAGCCAATGAATACTGTACTCTGGTGAAACCTAAGTGATTTGTAGGATGTGTTTTACCTCAACAGTAGGACTTGTAATGTCTTACCATCATATATATTGTACCTGAGAAACATTTTAAATTACTGGCCTTAAGTTTAATAATTTAAGTATTTAGACATAAGTCGTAAGATGCTAAGTGTAGTCTTAAGTGTAATTAAGGGTGTGTGTGAAGGGAAGGGGGGTGCATTGCCCTGCAGCATCTCTCCTAAAAGGCACCTCTGTTTGTTTAGGTGGAGGTGAAGCGCGCGGAGCCTCGGGACAGCAAAAGCCAAACTCCAGGGCCGCCCGGTGCCAGTCAGTGGGGAAGTAGGATCATGCCAAGCGCTGCCAACGGCTGGGCAGGTCAGCCCCCTCCGACCTGGCAGCAGGGATACGGCCCTCAAGGTACTGCTTTGGTGGCAGAGTCACTGGTCCAGGAGTCTCATCTCTGCTGCTTACTGGGAATTTGGTTTTAGTGGGAAATCACAGCACTGCCGGGTCTCTCGATGCTATTGCTCTGCTGGGTTGCTGGTAGTGAAGCTAAAATCCCACACGTCAGTTCATCCCGAGGCTGCTGGGATTGTTCCTTCACTTCTTTTCCCAAAATCCTTTGTTTCATAGGGCAGGAATCGGTGGGTTTTGCTGGGTCTAGTGTGTGTCCCAGGCTGTGCTTCACCTCTTTGGTTCTGCCTCTCCCCAAACACAGTTGTGTGGTTTTGGGTAACATGGAGGAGGCGTTGAGACACCTCAGCGGCTCCAGTTGTGACTCCAGCTGTGGGATTATGGCCTGCCTGAGACCCTGATGAAAAATTGTATTGAAATATGTCTTTTCAAGGATGAGGCAGTTTCAAAGGAAGCTATGAGTAAAATTTGAAAGGGCTGAGAGAAAAACAGATGGTCTTGTCTTTGGATTTTATTGCTTAATGTAGCCTGGAAAAATAACAAGCAGCTATGGGGGTAGCAGTGGTGCAGGGGAGCACTTAATGCATATAATTTTCTTGATTTAGCTTGAACCCTTCAGGGCTGAAAGGAGCAGCCGTGTGTTTTGGGTTTGATGGCTCTAAAACCCCCACAAGATTTTGAAGACAGGATAAATACGCTGAATTCATCCAAAGACGGGTTTGATAACTTATGGAGAAATAGGGTGGTATAATTGAGTTGCGTTTGACAGAACAGAACTTGCTTGCTCTGATAGATGAGGAATCTTCACCTGGGGGGCTAAAGGGAGTGTCACGGCTTCATCTCGTGCTGCAATGGATGATTCCTCGGTGGAGGGATGGCTTGTTTCCCCATGGTGCTTATTAACTTGAAAGCTGCAGCTGAGGCTTTGACATTCTGCACAGATGTGCTAATCTGCAACTGCGCAAATTGAGAAACTAGATTATTTTCAATGTGGTTAGTTGTAGAGAAAATGATATCTGATCCACTGGAAAGATTAACGTAAGGCATAAATGCATTTATCTTTCAATCTTAATGCTGCGACGAATGCAGAAGATTATGTTTTTATGGTTCAAAAACTTCAAAAATGACTATGATAAGCCTGGTAGTAAATTAAAAACGCTTTGGCTGGGTAGTCTGCTGTGATTCCCAGTGTTTTTGTTCTTCACACTAGTATGATTTCTTGCGCTTGGTGTGCTCACAGTTCTTGAGCTCTCCACCTGATCTGAGTTTGGGGACCGCTGTCTCTCCTGCACGTTATTTGCTGAATGATTCAGAGGCTTTTCAGAATTGCATATTCAGATATAGTCCGAGGCTATTTCTTGGACCATAAAAATAGATCTGTAGGGGACACTGGGAGGGTACTCGGTCTATTCCAGAGCCCAGAGCAAGATCAACTTTCTTTTAAATCATTCCCATTCCATAGTATGTGGCTTCAGTGCCTGTATAAGTCACTTCTTTTTGTTCTGTTTTAGGGATGTGGGTGCCAGCAGGACAGGCGATTGGTAAGTATGTTACATGGGACCAATTTTAAACGAGAAATTCTGCTGAGCGAGGGTGCAGTTTCTTTAAGAATTCACAGCCATTTGTGGATTTCTGTAATATTTAACCTACATTTAAAAGCTTGATTGAATTTGTCCTGAAAGAACGCAGGAGAAGATAGTGTGTTCTTAACAACTCAGTAATGGGAGCTGACATACATCCTGCTGTTGCCAACCACGCTAATTTGTTATCAAGGAATTACGTTCTACGCTGCAATTATTTGCAGTGGGGATGCTTAGAGGACAAATATTTCCCAAAGTCAGAATTCATAGAAGGCTGAGACTGCGTCTGAAATCTATCAGCTTTACCCCACCTAGAGGATGCTGCCTTAAGCAGCAACTTCTCATTATTAAGCCGCTTTAGTTCTTGGTTTCTCTTTATTTTTCTAGGTGGATATGGACCACCTCCTCCAGGAAGAGGAGCTCCTCCACCACCACCACCATTTACCTCATACATAGTCTCTACACCTCCCGGGGGATTCCCGCCTCCGCAAGGATTTCCACAGGGCTATGGCACCCCTCCACCATTTAGTAAGTGACCTATGGGATTTCCAGTACAGTCTCTCTCAAAATTCAGTTTTCAGCTTTTGCTCTTAGATTCCCCCCTGCCACATTTCAGCTATCCTTAGATGTTTATCCTAGGTTGTATATTCTGAGCTGTAATTATATAAGTATTTTTGTCTGTGAGTTGGTTTACTTTTTTCTTGGCTACGGTAATAATTTGTTCTCTGCTCTAAATCTGTGTTACTAAAAGAATTTAGATTTATTGTGTACCCTTGTGACAACATCCAAGAGGAAAGTTGGAGATTACTGTGTGGTGACCAGCGCTAGACACAGGCTGGGATTTTCAGAGAAGCTTAAGGAATTAAGGTCATGACTGGCATTGGAAATACAATAGGATTTAGGCACCTACTCCCTCAGGCCACCTTTTGAAAAGTCTGGTCACAAACCTGGTTTCAAACAGAAGGTGGAAAATGCCACCCAGTTGTCTGGAGCTGCTTGTTCCACCATGAGGGTGCTGTTTGTTTTGGGTACCCTTTTTTCCTCTAAGATCTTGAGTTCTATGGCTTTGTCTTTATGTCTCTCACATGCACATGGTGAGTGCAGAGAGTTGGGTCCCCAGTTCTGCTGCATCACTTCCTCTGTGCTGGTGTGGCTGGAGTTTTCCTCTGGGGGAAGGTTTCTGATGATAGATGGTTTTTTGTTGGGGTCTTTTAGCCACAGTGGTCGCCAGGAGGTAGGAGTGGCTGCCAGAACTATTGTATGGCCAGCTGTCGGTAAGAAACACTTTGGTTTTAAGAGACTTACAAGTATTTTTAAAGCAGCTTATCATACCTTAAGGCTCAGTAAGAAGCCAGGGTGGGGTTTACCCATGTCTTTTCACGTGTGTTGTACTTTCCTCCTGTTCCAGGTTTTGGTTATGGTGCTCCACCTCCTCCGCCTGACCAGTTTGCCCCTCCTGGAGTACCCCCTCCGCCCGCCACTCCAGGGGCAGCACCACTAGCTTTTCCTCCACCACCACCACCATCTCAGGCAACTCAGGACATGAGCAAACCCCCAACTGCTCAGCCAGAATTCCCTTATAGTCAGTTTGGTAAGTAACCGCGTATCGAATTAACTCCGCTTGAGCTTTTCTCCCCTTCCTGCTTTTCCCTTATATTTGGGTAGAAAGTCAGTATTTGGAAACATTTGCTGGCACTGAAGGCCCTTCCCTCCAGGACGGGAAGGCTGGCCACCAGCTCTCAAGCAATCCTTAAATCATGCAGTGTTCTAGCCAGAGGGGATTTACTTAATCAGCTCTAAAACATTGCCCGGATGCTGGGAAATAGTCTGTAGAGACTTGTGCACTGGTGGGATAAACTACTGATTTGCACTCTCCCTGAATCTGTATTTAAAACTCCTTTTTTTCCCCCTCCAAGAGCTCGTGATGGAGCTCGGAGTCAGCTTTTTTGTGTGACTGACTGGGATCAGACGTGAAGGGTAAGAACAGCGTCGAGGGGCGAGCAGTGCGGGTGTAAGAACCCGAGCTCTGTGCCCTTCCCTCCCTCCCCCTGCTCTTTTCCTGTCTCTCTGAACTCTGTAATGCTTAACTGTGCTGTGCAGATCGCTGGTGCAGATACCTGATAGAAGGCAGTGACAAGTTTTAAGCCAGGCAGACAGTACTACCAAAAAGATTAATAAATTGCTCTACAAGTGCTAGTGCTGAGTAAAATTCCTGCTCCTCCCTGTGGAAGCCGAGAGGGAGTTTCTCATCTTGCTCTTCCTCTTAGCCCTATTTTTGAGCAGTGATGTCCAAAGAGCTGTTTGTGGCACACTGTTGGGTTTTTTCCTCTTTTTTTTTTTTTTAAAAGGGATTGTAATCGGTCATTTTTTCACTTCTGAAGTGACCTTTCTGCGTAATTGGCCATTTTTTCACTTCTGAAGTGACCTTTCTGCATGCAGTAGGCCCATGGATTTAGGCTGTTCCCCACTGGAACAAGTTCTCCAGGTGTGGTGGTGCCTGCAGAAGCTCTTCTGAAATCAACACTTCGTCAAGTTACTTAAATAGATCCTATTCCAAGTTCCAAAAATGTAAAACAGACTCTGAAGGAAGAGGAGCCTTTCAGATGTGTTTATAAAGCAAACATATGTTCTCACGCTGATGAATTTGAGATGTTTTTCGATTTGTTTGTTATAAACACAGTTGCTTTCACAGAGAGCTTTGCCCTTGTGACTCAAGAGGAAGTTTTCCTTGTCTTGCCAGAGCTTGTCTCTTTGCAGACTCTTTTTGAAGGGGGGTGGGCCCTACTAAATAAGGATAAATGTGTGCACAATCCCTTTTGGTCAGTGGGAAGCCAGTACCTGAGATGTGTTGGAAGTTTTAGGAAGAATCTCTTTTCCAACATAGTGCAAAACAGGGGAGGGGGCATTCCAGTGTTTGGTGTGTGTAGTACCCCTGGTGTGTGTTAGGAAGCCTCTTTAGCAGTGAAATATTTCAGGTGTTCTTAGTTAGTTTGTTAAGAGTGCTGGGGAGAGAGGGAGGAAGAGGAAGAAGGCTGAGAAGGGTAGTTTTTTCAGATCATAACCACAGTTAGTCTCTCACCTCGAGTGCTTTTCTGGCCTGAAAGCTGTTAGAAGCGCTGACAGGGACAGAGGTGTTTAATCCTGCAGGACCACAGGGTCATCTGCCTGTTCAGAAAGCTACCTGTAAAACCTTACAGAGTTTTTTTTAAAAGAGCTTCAGCACTTGATGTGATCGCAAATGAGTTAGCAGCATTGCTGGGCAATAGGCAGTCTAGCTGATCTGCATGTATTTACATAAATGCGTAAAGCTTATGGGCTTGAAAGAGGCCCCGAGTTACCTTATCGTTTGCGGCGTTTTTAAGATTTGTCCTGGCTTGACAGCATCTTAAATGCTGCCGTGTTTAGAGCCGGGCTGAATGTAAGCACTGGTGAATTAAACACTAACAAGGGTGCGTCTCCCTCACCCTGAAAAATTATCTCTGCACAGGGCTCTCTGGGGGTTCGTCGCCCTGGTCTCCTCATTTCTTACTAGGGCTGGGTTCCTATTCTCAAGACCCTTCAGGCTACGCGCCAATACTTTGTTTACACTCTTATGGTCAGGCTGAGCAGTGAGAAGCCGTAGGTAGGTGGTGCCTCTTTACAACCAATGCTCTTGATGTATCTGCCGTGGGGAAATTAACTTGTGTTTCTTGCAGGGCCTCTTTTAAGAGGGGGTGGGAGGGGGCGAAAAATGCGGCTCGAATGTTTACTTTTGGGAGTAAAGGCGATAGAGTTGTGTGTGGTGGTACCTGGCTGAAGTGAAACCTCCTGCCTGACGCTGCCCTTCGCTCCGGAGCCGCCGCTTCGGGGAGGTTTATCCCATGTCTCCCAGCTGAGCTCGGGTCTGGAGCGGGGCAGGACGCGCCTCGTGGCTGGGGCGGCGCTGGGAGAGCAGCAGGAGCTGAGAGAGCAGGGGGAAGACAATATCTGGCTGTTCAGGTTTATGCTGGAGGTTTCCTTTGTGATAAACAAATTGAGAACTGTGGTTTCCGCCACTCGAAGCTGTAACGCTGCAGAGTACAGTGAGAAGAACTTGATGATTTCCTTTTTTTTTTTTTTTTCCCAACTCTGAGCCTCACCCCTTGGCAAACAATTAAATTGTATTTTTCGTTGCCTGCTTATCTCCGTCTGAAAAAAAAAAAAAAGCCTGGATTAGCATTTTGAGCTAATAGAAGCCTGTGATAGATGTGTTTTAAGGCTCATTAGTGGTAGCAAGTCCTGAGAGACAGGCAGAGCTTGAAATTGAAATACTGAAGACATGCTAAGAGACTTTGTTTTGGATTAAGAGAGTTAAACCTGCTTTAAGCCTGCACAGAGAGAAGCAGAACTGCAGAAACGTACTTAGTAATTAGGATTCTTAATACCATCTCTCATAGCAGAGGCTTGCACTGATGCCACTGGTATGATTAAGAGTCGTATTTAATTACAGGAACTTTTATTAAATTTCTCAGTGTCCTGAATTTACATGTAGCCGTCTTTCACGTTGGCAGCAAGAATTCCAGCAGGTCTTTCGTCTTCGCCCTTCCTCCCTATTCCCAAATTCTCCTCACTCTGAACCCACTGGGAACCCTGGCCTTTGGCAGGGCTCCGGTGGGAGGGCGGTGGGCGCAGGAGGAGTCAGTAATTCCTCAGATTGAGGCAGAAGGAGATGAGTGTGAGCCTGGAGCCTGCCTTAGTGTGAAGTTCTGGAGGCTGGAGTCAGTCCCCGTGCTGCTCCCCGGCCGGGCCAGCAGTGAGGTGCCAGGTTTGAAACGGGGCTTTGTTTTTTGAACTTGGAATAACTCCACTTCAGCCTGCCCGGGCCCTGAGTCTCTGGAGAAGGATATTAGTTCTTTCTAAGGGCAACTTTGGACCAAGGGTTCCATTATGCCAGGTTTGAAACGGGGCTTTGTTTTTTGAACTTGGAATAACTCCACTTCAGCCTGCCCGGGCCCTGAGTCTCTGGAGAAGGATATTAGTTCTTTCTAAGGGCAACTTTGGACCAAGGGTTCCATTATAAAGTTTATAATGGGTGCACAACCTTGGCCAACTTTGCCCCCTCACATTTCAGTTTACATTTTTTTTAATGATTACTCCTTGAGAGAGAGGCTGATGAGTTAATTAAAATACATATTCAGGCAGCAGCACTCTGGGGATTTTTTTTATATTTTTTTTTTTGAAAGGGAGTTTAAGATTGTCTTCTCAGCGAGGGGAGTTGTTGGCTGTCGAGGGCCGGCGGTGGAGCTGACGCTGCAGAGCCGGAGCCGCCGCACTGGCGGTGCCAGGGGTTTAAGGGCTGGGAGGTTTCAGGGAAAAACTTCCTTGCGACATCTGCGTCTCCGCTGAACCTGACAGTCCGAGTTTCTTGCCAATAAATAGCCCGTCCCAAACAAAAATTAAATTTGGAATGAGCTGACAGCAAACCTACAGGCCACTTGAAGCCTCTGAACAGCCGTAACGGGGTGGTTTAGCTCCAGCCTGGGTAGGGTTACCCCAAAAGTGAAAACTACCCTTTCTGCCTACCTGTTCTTCTTGCTTTCTGCCCGTTCCTTCTGTAGGAGGAGGTAAATAATGGCAAGGAGGGAAAGCAGCTGCTTATCGTGAGGTGTCAGAGCGAGGAGTTTGTTCCTGGGCCGTGCAGGGGGAGGGACGGGGGCAGGATATTGGGGTTTACGGCTCGGCGGGCGGCTCCGGAGACTGACCCTGCCCTTCTCCCCTTCTCCCCAGGGTATGGACAAGACTTGAGTGGGTTTGGACAAGGTTTCTCTGATCCCAGCCAGCAGCCCCCTCCCTACGGAGGCCCCTCGGTGCAGCCCTCCAGCGGCCCCCCCGCCGGAGGCAGCGGGTTTGGACGAGGACAGAACCACAACGTGCAAGGATTTCACCCCTACCGGCGCTAGCGGGGGCTGGCCATCAGGGAGTTCTGTCCACGCAGGGATGTCTGGAACCAGCCCAACCCAGCAATCCCAGACTTCTGAACTTGTGACAATCACATACTTGATGGAAGAAAAACCTAACAACGTTTTTTTGGGGGGGTTTGGTTGTTTTTTTTTTCTG